GTTCCATTGGATTGTCCTCCCTGTCAGGAAATTCCTCCTTATTTCTAGGTTGAATCTCTCCTTGGTCAGTTCCCATCCATCATTCCTTGTCTGGCCTTCAAGTGCTTTGGAAAATAGCTTGACTCCCACCTCTCTGTAGCAGCCCCTCAAATATTGGAAGGCTGCTATCCTGCCTCCCCTGGTCCTTCTCTTCACTAGACCAGCCATGCCCAGTTCTTGCAACCGTTCTTCGTATGTTTTAGCCTCCAGTCCCCTCATCATCTTGGTTGCTTTTCTCTGTACTCTTTCTAGTCTCAACATCTTTTTTATAGTGTGGCGACCAAACCTGGACCCTTCCCTCTGCTTCTTTCTCCCTCAGAGTCTCAGATGCTGCTGGGGGTGATCCAGCGGTCCAGTCTCATCCAGTTTCTCCAGAGCCACGAAGACTCCAGTCTGCCACAGGAGGAGACGGGGAAAGAGGTGGGTCTGAGAGGGTGATTCCGACAAGAGTCGATTACGTGCTTTCCGTGGCGGGGAAGGGGACGGGGAGGGACACAGGGCTCCTTTCCATCCTGCTGCACCAAACATTCATGGCTGTGCTTCTCCCTTCCAGCTTACCTCGGGCCAGACTTTAAAAGAAGGCTGCATGATAAATCCTGTCACCCTGCAGCTCTCCCCATGGACATCCCTGCACCAGGTACCTCAGGTGGTCGAGTGCTATACAGGTTGCCTCAGTCCAGAACAGACTCGTGCCTCTCCTGAGGCGCTAGGGCAGCAGCAGCAGGAAGAAGGCAGGGAAGTATTGTGGCACACCAGAACAGATTGGGAGAGTGAGGAAGCTGGGGAAGAACATTGGCCATTCCTGGAGTCTGGGGAAGGCTCTGTTGAGGACTCTGTGTTGGAGGCAGAGAAGGGGCCAGGGCTGTATGCCAGTTATCAGCTGCTTCAGAGTCAGACATCAGTGAGGCAGATGAACAGCTGGAGCCTGTTCCCTGTGCATGCGCAGAGTGGCCAGAAGAAGGGAACAGTTAAAAAACAAGGGTCGACTTGGGAGTAAGGCCACAGGTGGACGTGAATGGCCCCTCCCAGGGGAAATAAAAGGCCACAGGTGGACGATGAATGGCCCCTCCCAGAAGACATAAAAGAGGAGTGAAAGGGGAGTGGAGCTTGCAGGAGGCAATTAGTTCGCTTCATTGGTTCCTGACTCTCCGAGACTCCTNGTGACTGTAAATCCTCCCTTGAAAGACTTTGCTGGATGTGAATGAGCAGAATTCACAGAAAATGAATAAAAGGGGGTTTTGTCGAGAGTTTGCTTCAGGCTCTTGGGAAGCCTCGGTTGAAACATTAGGGAGGCACAGGCAGTGTGGAAACAGCGCCCCCATACCTTTGCTGTCCCTGAGATTGGCCACCCTCTGACCTTCCCCCTCCCCTTCCAGGGGCTGCTGCCTTCTCTGGCTCAGTCACCCACACCCTCTCCACCGCCTTGCTGGCCTTTGAGATGACTGGGCAGATTGCCCACATCCTGCCTGTGCTGCTGGCCGTCCTGGTGGCCAACGCCATTGCCCAGAAGTTCCAGCCTTCCTTCTACGATGGCACCATCCTTGTCAAGAAGCTACCGTACCTTCCTCGCATCCGCAGCAGGCATATCGAGTGAGCTGCCCTGCCCTGCCCCCCCTTGGCTTGCTGGGACCCGGGGATTGGGATGCCAGCCTTCTCCAAAGAACGGGCACTTTGCGTATGCCCAGATCACCTCTCGCCTGACCTTGCTTGGCAGGTGCCAGTGGCCCCTTTTCCACCCAAAGCGTTGCCCTATCCCAATGAAGCATCGGCCTGGTGAGTGTTGCTTCCCTTTGCAGGTCCTACCTGGTCACCACCCAGGAGTTCATGAATACAGATTTCGTCATCCTGCCCCAGGAAGCCTCCTTCCATGACATCCTCCAGGTGGTTACCATGACGGATGCCCAGGAGTATCCGGTGGTCGACAATACTGGTAAAGCGGTGCTCCGAAAGCAGCGGGCGTCTCTGTGTGTGTCTTGCGCTGGATCCGTCTGGCAGGAGGGTCCCACCAGGTGGTTGGAGGGGCATTGAAGCATTTGTAACATAAATAGGCACATGCACGCAACCACATTCCTAGAAACTACAGTCTTAGAATAACAAGAGTTGGAAGGGACCTTGGAAGTCATCTAGTCCAACCCCTCCACCCAAGCAGGAGACCCTGCACCATTTCTGACAGATGGCAATCCAGTCTCCTCTTGAAAGGCTCCAGGGATGAAGCTCCCACAACCTCCGAAGGCAACTTTGGTTCCATTGGTTGATTGCTCTCACTATCAGAAAATTCCTCCTTATTTCCAGGTTGAATCTCTCCTTGGTCAGTTCCCATCCATCATTCCTTGTCTGGCCTTCAAGTGC